CCATCAGGGCCAGGGCTTTTTTTGTTGGGAGTCTTTAAATTACCTTTTCAATCTCTTCTTTTGTTATCGGTTTATTTAGTTGTTCTACCTCTGTTTGTGTTAGTTTAGGTAGGTAGTGTGTTTCTAGAAATTTGTATATTTCCTCTAGGTTTTCAAATTTGTTAGAGTATAACCATTTTTGTAACTGATAGGATAGTAGAGATTAGAGTAATAAATCCAAACCTGTGAACGCCTCCTTTAAACAATTGGAGAAGCTATAATTAATTCTCTGGGATCACATTGGCTTCAAAATATCATCTTTCTTCACTGAGAGACTAGATTATAACAGTAATACAAATCCTGTCAGATGACCCGTTTAAAAATTGGGAAGGGACGTTGGTCTATAGGTATAAAAGATACTTACTGCTGCCCTCTAAAAACAAAATTACCACTTACTTTGGAAGGCAGACACATTTTTGCACTTCTGTGCTTTGAACTACTCCAGAATAGATTGAGAAAAAAGTTAGGTTGACCACTTTTTTGAGAATCTTAACTGTATCCCATGACTGATTGATAAAAGAGTAAACAAAGGTAAAACATTAAGGGTGTTGATAAAACTAAACGTAAGAGGAAATTAGAGTCTTTACTTTTCTTTTTTAATTTCAAATCAATTGAAAGGTCTTTAATGACTCAAGCAGATAGTTTATTTCCCATCCAGTAAACATTTTATCCCTTCTTCCTTGATGTAGAACAGAGGTCAGCAAACTTTTTCTTTAAGTCCAGAAAGTAAATATTTTAGGCTTTGCAAGGCCAAGAGACAAAATCTAGGGTATTATATAGAAATATTCATATAGCCATTTAAAATGTAATCATTTAAAAATATAAAAACCGTTCTTACCTTGCTGTGAAAAGCAGACAGCTGGTTGGAATTGGCCCGTTAGTCAGTTGCCAGTACTTTCTGTAGAAGTCTATTTTGTTAATATATGGGAGATCATGTGCTTCAGGATGGATCTGAATCAGTTCTGGTAATCTACTGTCCTTGCTAATAATTGGTGTAGATAATAGATTCAGGACACATTTCTGGCACCAGCCATAAGGAGATGTCTGCTGAGAAAGGTGTTAAAATAGATGTATGAGACTTCCTTGTGTGGGGGTAATATGTGGAGCTGCTGCAGTCATCCTTTGACCACAGAGGGACAACCATGGGGTCCCAAGGCTGGGGATCTGACAAGTTTATGTCATTCATTTCTCATGAGGAGTAATTCTTCCTCACAAAAACCTTTACTGAATGTCTCTATAATATTTTCCTTGTCTGTTATCCACTGTTGTTCTTTCTAAGTGGGTTATACACAGTATCACCAGCTTGTTCTTGTTTTGTTATTCTGTCTGTTCCACTGAATGAGTGCTTCTATTACATTACTTGCTGATACTTTTCTGTGACTTCTTTTAGTGCTTCAGTTTGTTGTCTGATACGCTCTCCATGGGTATTCTCTTGTTGCTGTGATATTTTTTAAGAGTTCAAAGTAAGAGTTATAGTGTTCTTTCATAATAAAAAGAGCTTACATTTGTTAAAGCAAAGCATTTTGTGTTACACTGGTTGTGTTGTACTTTATCTAAGGAAATTTGGTTTTCTGAAAACTAGAATACAGTACAATCTATAGGAATGAGTAAATGCCCTATACATATATAAACCACAAGGATGAGATGATATAAAGCTTCAATATATAATCACATTTTGGTTTTTAGCTTTCTAGAGTTATCAGTCCTCATCAAATAGTTCAAGTTTTTCCAACTAATTATAAAACGTTCTTTTTATAAATGAATTGTAATAACCATTTATACAGTTTTTTTCATTCATTAAAAGACATTTGTGAAGCTCCAGCTATGTCCTAGACATTGTTGCTTCTTGAGGTTGGGAGTGGAGGAAAGAGTTACATTTGAGACTAAGTTACAGTCATTGCTCTTAAATATCTTAGAAGTTACATATAGCATCTAGCAGAGAGCCTCATGTCAGGAGGTTCTTAGTGTGTTTGTTGTACCCCTTCCTTAGGAGACATCGTGGAAGATGAACAACTTAGTTCCAATTTTGACAGTATGTACAAAGAAAGGAACGTAAATCAGGGAGAATAGCATGGTAGAGGTATGAAAATGTACCAGGGAGTCGTACTCAGGGCTCCCCTCTCCAAAAGAGGAGGGGAGACAAGAAAAATTAATTTAAATAATATCAGTGAGAGGTGATGGAGCCCTGGTGGTACAGTGGCTAAGAGCTTGGCTGTCATCTAAAAGGTCAGCAGTTCAAATCCACCAGCCACTCCTTGGAAACTCTGGAGCAGTTCTACTCTGCCCTGTAGGGTCACTATGAGTCAGAATCGACTGGATCGCAGTGGGTTTAGTAAGACATGACTTTGTCCACTATTTCAGCTTCATTAGCATGCACCTCAGAGTGAGTGAGAGATGAGACTAGTTAGTAAGAGATGAGACTAGTGAATCTGTTGTTTTCTGTATTGCACTTAGTTATACCACATTTATAGTGAAAACCTCTTCTTGCACATAGTATGTTTTTAACGTTCAAAGTTACTGTATGTACTTTACCTGGTGTTGAATTGATCTGCTCAGGTCCTGGAGGTAAAACTAGCTACCTTGAATTTACTGAGAAACTTTGTGTCTGTTTCCAATGTAGCATTTTGCGAAGGTGGTTGCAAGGGTTATCTTGACCAAAGGCAAATTTTACCTTTTGCAACGAGTATAGAGACTAACACCTTTGTAAAATGGGGTGCTGATAAGGCTGCAACACAGCAGGCCTAGCAGTTTGTAATGAAAAATGTAAGTAGGAAGGAAGGTAGCATAATAGTAGATCACACATGATCTTAAATTCATGCTATGAGATTCAGTTTTATTCAAAGGCACTGAAAAGTCACTTAAGTTTGAACCAAGTAATAAGTTGGTAAAATCTGCATTTTAGAGCGGTAATTTTGAAACCATGTACCCATGATTTATCAAGCTAGATTGGGGCTATCCATCACTATCATTGAATAATATAGCCTTAACAATTGATTTTTCTCCTAAGAATGTACTTGCTAAGGGAACAAAAATAGATGCTCAATTCCGTGTGCCTACCAAATGGTTTTTCAGATGAATGCACTGGACAGCCTTGGTCAGACTGCTTTGCATAGAGCCGCCTTAGCAGGTCACCTGCAGACCTGCCGCCTCCTGCTGAGTTACGGTTCTGACCCCACTGTCATCTCCTTACAAGGCTTCACAGCAGCACAGATGGGGAGTGAAGCAGTGCAGCAGATTCTGAGTGGTGAGTTAAGAGACAAATTGTATTTTATGCTCTTTATTCCATTTCCACTGATATACACAGACAAATTTTGCACCATTTGTTTTAAGTATTTCTTAGGAATTTTTTCTCTGCTTGAGTTTTTTTTTATGCCATTCCTTGCTTGTAGATGATCCTGTGGCCCTCCTCACCTCCCCTCCTTTTATTTTTTTTTGAGGGGGTTCATGAGAAGGAGGCAGATACCCTCTTTAATGTTTTTTTAGTTTTAAATTTAAAATATGGCTCATGGGCATTGCAGCCAAAAACAACCTGGAACTCAGATAAGCCGTGTGGGATTCTGCTAGCTCTGCTGGTGCTGCTGCTGTTAGTTGCTGTTGAGTTAGTGTGACTTATGGTGACCTCGTGTGCTGAGTAGAACTGGTCCAGAGGGTTTTCTAGGCTGTGGCCTTTGGAAACAGATCACCAGACCTGTCTTCCAAGGCGCCTCTGGGTGAATTCGAAACGCCAGCCTTTCAGCTAGTGGTCAGTTTACACTACCCAGGGCATCCTATGGTAGCTCTAAATCTATGAAGTAGAGAATATTACGAAGTATCCATATGGTAGTGACCTTTAATTGTTCTTACATATATAATATTCTGACTTGCTTTTTGTAATTCTTAACTTCATTGCACTATGAAGAAATTATCATCTTTTCTTGGTTTAATTATAAAATCTTACTGAATGTTACAGTTCCTAGCTGGTACGGTGTTAGATATTTTAACTAGTTTATTGAGGGAGATCAGACATAAAATTGATATGAACATGGACACTGCTTTCCTAAGCTCAAAGTTAGAGCAAATAAGACAGTCTACCTACTGAATAATGATGAAGCCAATAAGAAATTTAGTATAATTGGCTCATTTCTCCATCCCTTTAATTTCCTATCTGTTATATAATGATTATATTCTGACTTATCCAACTTCTGATGCCAGCTGTGTCAAGTGGAAATCTCAGAATCCCACTATTCTGTCCTCAGCCATGAAGATATAACTAATCCCCACTTCTTTACTTCTTTGTTCAGTTCCAACATCAGCTGCCCATGTGACACTTCTTTCTCTGACCCTGGCCTCTTGGAGCTAGGTCAGACCTCACAAGTTAAAAGGACACCATCCTTCAGATTGCCAAATAGGCAGATGCCAGCCACAAGTTTGAGAGCCCACATGACACCCTAATTTCTAACCTGCTGGCTCCTACCACTCCTTTCAGTTCAATAATTCACTGGAATGACTGGAATGAACTCATGGAAAGTGCTATACTTACGATTACAGCTTTATTATTTAAACAAACAAAAACAAAGGATGTAAACAGAGTCACATAGGGCAAGGTCGGGAGAGTTCCCAGTGCTGGGCTTCTGTATCCCAGAAGGTGTACTACCCTACCACATGCATTGATGTCTTTCACCAACCAGGAATCCCATGGAACTTGCTTGTTCAGTCCTTTATTGGGGCTTCATTGCAGAGGTATGACTGAGGCCTCATTGCAGAGGCATGATTGAGGCCTCATTGCAGAGGCATGATTCTTTGGACCATGTTTCCCTCCCTCCCTGAGGTCAGCTGATATCAGGCTACCAGGTAGTCTTTGCGGCCTGTCCAACTCCATGCTGATTTACACGAATCCTCAGATGTTGTTTAGATAAAAAAGGTACCTCAGTTACTCAGGACATTCCAAGAGTTTAGAGTTATCACTCAGGAACAAGGGCAGAGACCACATTGCTTTGGGTGAAGTTCAATTCTTTAACCCACAGTTATATAACAGTCTGGAAAAGTTCAGTGGAACAAGCTACAGACTGGTAGTCAGAAGTCTCTGGTTCCTTTTTCCTACCTATAGTCCAGAAGTTCTTAATTCTGTCAGGCACAGTATCCCATTTTTATAACAAATATTCTATAGCATCCCATTTATATACAGAAATGAAATTAATAGATATTATGACCTAACTACACAGATACCTTTCAAAAAATCTGTATTAAATGCCCTAACAGTAATATGGAGTCCTTGGATGGCACAAATGGTTAAGCATTCACCTGCTAGTTGAAAGGTTTGAACCCACCCAGAGGCACCTCAGAAGACAGGCCTGGCGATCTGCTTGCAAAAGGTCACAGCCTTGAAAACCCTATGGAGCAGGTCTATTCTGCACATATGGGGTCACCATGAGTTGGAATCAACTCCATGGTAACTGTGATGGTTAAGGTTCTATGTCAGCTTGTCTGAGCCATGATTCTCAGTAGTTTGGCAGTTATGTAATGATGTAGTTTGGCACTTATGTAATGTGACAGTTATGTAATGATGTGGTCGTCCTCCATGATGTGATCAGCCAGTCAGCTGTAAGGAGAGTTTTCTTGTGGGTGTGGCCTGCATCCCGTGTGTATATATATGGACATTCTGGCAAAGCTTGCTCGCTTACTCTGGATCCTGCATCCGGCTCATCATCATCTGATTTCTGGTTCTTGGGACTTGAGCCAGCAGCCTGCTGTACCGTCTGCTGATCTTGGGATTTGTTTTAAGTAGCTAATTATTATTATGTAATAACTTCGTCATGACTACCCTGGATGAAAACATGGATCCCACGGATATCTAAAGGACCCCAAGAAGTAAGGCCCAGTTGAGAATGACTGCTATACACTAAAATGCAGAACTTTCCAAGGCTTATGGAGATTATATGTGTCGTTAGAGCTGGATCAGAGCTTAATCAGCCTCATGAGAGTACTTGTGCAACATTGTGAAAGCTGTTGATTAGGGCTTATTTTCCTTATGCTAGTTCATTCTTAGATAGTGATCGTTCTAGGTCAGTCTTAGATCTTGATCTTTAGATTTACCTAGGCATTTTCACTATCGAAATGAATAAAGGAATAAGGTTTTCTATTATGGGATTTCAAGCTTGAACTATTGAAAGCATGTCTTCATTAACTTTCTGTATCTACAGAGCAGTCAACATTTTTAAAAGAAGATACCACTCATTGACTAGGAAATATTTTTGCCTTCTCAATAAATTCTAATTACTTCTAAAAGGTGTGACTTGTTAAAACAGTCTAAATTTTTCTCTTGTGTCTTCTACTGAGAATTATTTAGTAATGAATTTTAAGTTAGTTTTTATTAGATATAACCATAAATCAGATAAACTATAGGTATTGCAAGAAGCCCCTAGTGGTGCAGTGATTAAAGCACTCGGCTGCTAATGGAAAAGTCAGTGGATCAAACCCACCAGCTGCTCTGCAGGAGAAAGATGTGGTGGTCTGCTTCTGTAAAGATTACATCCTTAGAAAGCCTGTGGGGAGTTCTACCCTGTTCTGTAGGGACACTATGAGTCTGAATCGTTTCCATGACAATGGATATTGCTATTGCATCAAAATTGCTCAGTAATACTATGCATAATTTTTAGAGATAATTGACAAAATGGGGAGGAAATGACTGAATAAATTAAGCAGATTATATCCATATAGTGTTTTTTAAATGTCTTCTAAATGAATGCAATTGGAATATATGACTTCTGGTAAAAGATAAAATTAAATACTGAAAATCACAGATTATATATATTTTTTCAGTTATTTTGATAATTGCATTTAAAAACTTGACTTTTGAAATAAAATACTATATAGATAATTAAATACTAATTTAGAACATGCCAGGAGTTTTTAGTTTAATTCTTAAAGTTCTTTATTGTTCTGGAAAGATAATACAAATAATAGAATTATATAATAATAGCTTTGAAAGATTTTTAAAAAATGGGAATTGTTTGAAAGAGGATATAATTTTTAAACTAATATTTTTACCAGGAATTTGTGTGTTTACCATTCGTGGATCGTGTACTAACTGAACTTTTCAATTACACATTTACTAATCCAATTCCAAGTTATGTTTATAATGACTCTTAAAGGAATGCATCAAACATACAGGATGTATATAAGTTGTTGGGAGTTTGTTTCGGGTAAAACTTTAAAGATTCATGTAACTACACCTGTTAAATACTGAGCTTGAGATCCACCTTTAGAAATGTGTACTTTCAGCTCTCAAGTCTGTAGTTGCCAATGGTTTAGATTAGTAAAGTTTTAATTATAAATTGCTGGCAACATTTATATAAAAATTAATGCCAGAGGAAAGAAAACAAGGCAGACAACTTCTCATAAATTAGCGTTTTAAAACAGCCTTTCAGCAGATTTGCCTTCTTTTTCTATATCTGCTTTGCTGCCCAATAGAATAGCCACTAGCTACATGTGGCTAAATTTAAATTAATTAAAAGTAAATAAAAGTTACAAATCAGTTCCTCAGTCACACTGACCATGTTACAAGTACCTGATAGCCACATTTAAACACAGATAAAGAGTTCTCAGAACTTACTTTGTAAAAGCAAGTCTCCTGAACAAAGCATGTTAGATGAGGAAGATCTGAAGTGTTTCTTCTGAAACCTAAAACCTTTTCATGGTATCACTCGATCTTCCCGCTTTGACAGTGGCTCAAGAAAGATGTCTCTGATCACAAGATATGCAGTCTTAAATCTGAAAGACTCACTTTAGAGGTGAAAAACTAAGCTGTTAAGCAATTAATCCAAAGTCACAGATAGTAGATCTAGGTCTCCTGAACCTCATTCCTTTTGTGTTATATGAGTGTGTGTACGTAAGTGCATTAGAAAAGGAACACGTAATGTCCATGAACATACTTTGGGTAATATAAATTGTTTTCTTTAAAAACCTATTTTATTTGGGCCAATGTGAAATGAACTTTCGGTTTGTTTGTATTGAATTAATCAAAATACCTCAATTGTTAACCTCATACTTCTGGGCTTATCAACCTGACTTAATTATATTCTATTTAGCATGGTATCACACCTCCCAATTATATAGACATTTAAATTTCCCTGAAGCCATTTAATAAATGTGAATTAAACAAGTATCTGTATTTAGGGTTTTTGTTGTTGTTGTTCACTTACTGTGCTTTCTAAGATTACTTTAATTTCAGGAGTAGTACTTCTGTTTTACATATGAGAAATCTGATGCCAAAAAAAGAAGAAGAAGAAGGCTAAATATGAAGTACTAAAAGTTTATTGAGTTCCCTAGCTTTTACGTAAGAAATCTATGGCAAAGCTTACTCTACGACAGTATGTGAAACCAGTGTATCGTAAAGATGTTCTTGATCTCATGGTCTTAGGTTTCCTTGCTCTCCTTTGCCAAATTTTGACCAGAGAATGTGAAGGACAGGGTAGTAGGGATGGAGAATTTGTCTCTTAAAATTTATTTAAATTTGGCTTAGGATGAGATGGGTGTTGATTGAAGTAATAAATCATTTATTTTTTACCTAAAAAAGGTTGAGTAAAAACCTATATTAGATCTCAGAAATTTCTGACCCCTTAATCTCTTCCCAACCACCAAGTACTTTTCTCTTCTTAACCAGGATTCTTCAGGGACCAGTAATGATCTTTCCTTTTTTTTTTTTTTTCTTTCTTCTAATGCAGAAAGTACACCTATACGCACCTCCGATGTTGACTATCGACTCTTAGAGGCTTCTAAAGCTGGAGACTTGGAAACTGTGAAGGTAAGTCAGTACTGTTGATGGCTTAGGCTGCACTATTCAATGTTTGCTAATCAATTTATTAATATTTTTAAACTTATAAGTAAAATTACTCAAGTCCAAACAATAAAAGTGATGACTCAAGTAGATCTGTAGACTGGAGAGAACTTTTAGTACTGAGAATTTCCAAGTATATGCCTTATATCCTATATATATATGTATTTGAAATTATATATATTAGAGGAGATAAGAACTGTGGATTAGTTCTGCAGTCAACCAGGGTTGGTCTCATAATGAGCTAAGAGAATGCTGGTCAGTACTTTTCCATATAGAGTTGATGAGATTGTGGGCTCTTTTTTTTTTACTACCCAGACTTCCTCCTATCATGTAAAAATTGTACCACCTGAAAAGTTCTTGTTTTTGTTCTTTCTTTTATGTCTTTTATGTAAGCAGTCACTTTTCTTCTGGTTATATGAAAACTCTTTTATTTTCACTTATATTAATTGTTATTTTTGGCCACATTCATGCATATGTAAGTAGTTCAAGCCCAGGTAATAGCATGATAAACTTTAAAGCAGTGTTTCGTAATCTTTTCCCAGAAATTCTCACATTTGCCCTAGGAAAGCATTGTTATGATCCCTCAACCATTTGGAATTATTTGTATGCAGAAGCTAGATAATCTTTTCTATGTAATTTCACTTGCCAAGAAAATTTTATTAATCTTTATTTGTGGCATAGAAATAATGGTTGTAGATTTAATTATTTTCAAATATAAAATTATATTCTAATATTCAATATACTTTTTAAAAAACACATACACTTCGCAGGTATAATCATTCACTTAGGGATGAAGTTAGCAGAGAGAGATTTGGTTTTGGTTTTGGTTTGGAGGTTGGTCTTGCAGTTTTGTTTTTATTTGTTTCTTTTTTTAAGAAAGGCTATTTATAAAATTGGTATTGAGCAACATACCAGGTTACTTTTGGCCAAGTAAACTTCATCACCTCTTACTAAGCAAACTGTATTTTTGTAATTTTTAGCAGAATAATTTTATTATTCTTGATGAGGTACATTGGTTGAAAATAACAGTTGTCAAAGAGTATAACACTCAGCTCTCTGTCAGAAGTAAAAGTAAAAAGTTTTATTGAAAGAATAGAACAGTTCAAACTGGGCAACACAATGCAAGATCACAAAATGTTCTGCTGTGCAGAAGACAAGCAGGAATTTTTATACAGTAAAAGCAGGAACTTACTGAACAAAAACCTGATTGGTTGACGTTTAAAATCAGTTAAGTAATGATCATAAGAAAAATCACCAGACTTCAGAGGTTTCTGTTATTTGACCATAACAGACCAACTGACCTCTTGAGTAAATTGATTAATGATCTGTTTTCTAACATGGTCTCTTAACTTTTGCAAACATTTGCAAGACCCCTTCCTGGGACATTCTTAAACAATCTTTATTGCAATCTTCACCGTTCGTGAAAAACAGTTCCTTTCTCTTGTCTATTTTAAATCATATGTTTCTCTCTGTAAGCATTTCTGAGAACTCTGGTCATGAGTTGGTTTTCTCAAAGTTAATGATAAGCTGGGAAAGCAGAAGTCAATATTAAGGCAAAATGAAGCTTGTTTCAAAATGGAGTTTGGCCCACACTTAAGTCTACCATCCCGGTACTGCCAAGCACCTCAGGTTTAAAGTGTTCCTTCACACAGTAAACACTTTCTAAGCTCTGTTGCTTAGAAATTTTATTTTTATTTCATTATGCAAACACTCCCACACTCTCTTCCATCGTATAACAGCATCCAAATTATTTAAAGAAGAATAGTAAATTTCCATTGTAATATACAGTGGAGAGAAATTTTAAAGTTCTCTGCCATCTAAAATTATGTAGTATTTTTTTTCTTAAAAATACTTTTATCATTTGCAATTTACCCTACTAAAAGAAAATTCTTGAATACAAAAGTGGTTAGAATTACTTTTCTGTATCACAGGATGATCTGCCCATTATAATTAAATTGATAGTTTTTAATTCTCTATTTTGTATGTAATAGGCAAATAAATATAGTTTTCAGGTTCCCTAAACAATTCATTCACAATGAAGGCCAAATATATTTTTAATCAATGGAATGGATGTGGAAAAGAAAACAAAACAGCAGAAATTAAGTGAGAATTAGGCTTGGTAAATCTCTTTCCCTAGAGGCTTTAGAAAAAGTGTTGTTGTGTTGTTGTTACGTGCCATCGAGTCGGTTCTGACTTTTAGTAACGGAATGAAACACTGCCCCGTCCTGTGCCATCCTCACAATCATTGCCATGCTTGAGCCCATTGTTACAACCACTGCGTCAGTCCATCTCGTTGAGGGTCTTCCTCTTTGTCACTGACCCTTTACCAAGCATGATGTCCTTCTCCAGGGACCGGCCCCTCCTGATATCATGTCCAAAGTATGTGAGATGAAGTCTCGCCATCCTTGCCTCTAAGGAGCTTTCTGGCTGTACTTCTTCCAAGACAGATTTGTTCGTTCTTTTGGCAGTGCGTGGTGTCTTCAATATATTTTGCCAACACCATAATTTAAAGGTGTCAATTCTTCTTCGATCTTCCATATTAGAAGAGAAGGCTATTTGCTGAGTAAAGTATTTGAAATTATGAAAAGTTGGTAGGAAGAATGTGAAATTGCATTAGAATTAAAAAAAATTGAAATACAATAGAAAATTAAAGATTTCCAAATATTAAAAAGAAAATATTTAATAATCAAGCTAAGCTTCTATTTTTGTAACCTGGCAAATATGAGTTGTATTTCATTTCCTACCTCATCCCTATTTTTCTAATATTATCTGTAAAAATAAATAATAACATTAATTTAGAATTTAAGCATCAGGAAGCAGCTTCTCTCATGTGAGACCCCCAAGGAAGGTAATTGCTACTAGTTGTTGCAGCCTTTTCTTTTTAGTTTACATACCAATTTATTTGTTTTTCTTTTATTACACTGTTTATTTTATTACTTATATATTAACATAGCCTCAGACTCATTGATACTTTTCGGTATAGAGTTGACGAGATTGTGGGCTCCTCCTTACTGCCTGCACTTCCTTCCTCTTATCATGTACAAATTGTACCACCTGAAAAAATCCTTGTTTTTATCCTACCAGAAAGAAGGTCCTACTGTGTACCTCAGTAAAAGCAGCCGTCTCCCCAGTTCTTGGTTTTTACTTAGTACTAGCTCATTACAGTGGCAGGAGCTGCAGCAAGTTTGGAGAATGCCTGCGAAGCTCTTGCCATCATACTTGTAGCCTAGAAAATACCACTGTTTCCTCTGCTTCATTTGCTTTTTTAAAATTTTCATTACTTTTCTTCTCACCACTTCCCTAAAATGGGTCACTTACCTGTTAGCCTCAGTTTATTTTCTGTAAACTAAGGATAATGATCAACTTCATAGATAGATAATTTATGCACTGAAAGAATATGAAGTTTTTTTATAAACTGTAAAGTGTAAATTATTCAAATGTTATTGTTGTATAATCCACCTGTCACCACTATTGATGCACCCGATTGTTCTTTGCCTTCCTTTCTGCCACTTCGTATGCAAACATAATTGAGCTTATCATTTTGATCGTGCTGAAATGGTAGCAGTCAAAGGGAGAGAAGGAAGCAGAGAAGATGTTTGAAGGATGTAGCCAAAAAAAATGAAAGTAAATGCCAAAAACTAGAGTATGATTAGAACCAGTTTGATTTGTAGTGTTAGACAAACTTCCTCCAGCAAATCAAGCACCGTTGTTGACTGCTTTGCTGCAGTGGATCCAAGGGCCAAATGGGTGGTCCAAGCAGAACTAAAATAATTTTCCCAGAGCCTTCCTGCTTGCTTGATCCACATGAGCAGAGACAAGAACTGTGGGTTAGTTCTGCAGTCAACCAGGGTTGGTCTCATTTGAGCAAAGGATGGCTAGGAGAACGCTAGTTAGCACAAGCAGGCATTCTGTGACAAGCAGTCTCAGCGTGGAAAGACTGATAGAAATGGAAAAGCAAAGCATCATTTACCTTGAAAATGCGTGCTTTATTGTGGATTTTTCTATTCAGTTAGGATTTTGGCTAGGAAGTATTAAAAAAGATTGAGTTGCTCTGTAAACAGTAAAAATATTTGTAGTCACTGTTAAGCCAAGCATAGTGCTGATTTTTACACATCATTTGTATTAGCTAATCTTTGCAAATAAATATTCATTAGAACATTACAGTTTATCCAAGATACTGTCGTATTTTAGAGCAAAATCTGTGAATAAATATTAATTTTTTGTGTGTATGTGTGTGTCTGTGCCTTAAAAGCAACTTTGCAGCCCTCAAAATGTGAATTGCAGAGATTTAGAGGGCCGGCATTCTACACCCTTACACTTTGCGGCTGGCTATAATCGTGTGTCTGTTGTGGAATACCTTCTACACCATGGTGCCGATGTCCATGCCAAAGACAAAGGGTATGTGTCAAAATTTAGCTGTTTGGGTTTATTTTCTTCATACTCTTAAAAATTCCTTTTTAAATATTTTTATATCTTTATCCTCATTAAAAAAGTAATGCATTTAAAAAAAAAAAAAAAACTTAAAGCATTGCAACAATATAGAAAGTGAAAATTACCTAACAGCCCACTCCCTAGAGATTACTACATTAAAATTTTGTACATAATCCTCCAGATTTTGTTAAATACGTATAACAGTGTACATGCTGTTGTGATGATGGTAGTGATTTTCCACACAAATGATGATGCCATTTGTACAGTCTGTTTTGCAATTTGCTTTTTTAACCCTCCAAAAAAAAAAACGAAAGCAAACCTGTTGCCCTTGTCTGGCCTTCGGTCAGTAGCGTGCAATGTGTCAAATCTATGCCCTTTATATTACCAGGGTAAAAATATTTAAATAATAAATCCTTATTTGGAAATGAACGACTATATATTAAAGACCAGAGGGAAATTATTTCTAAGTGGTGTTCAGTATAGTTGATGCCATAGAAGAATTGTATTATTTTTATTATAGGAATCATTTTAACTTAAAGTGTTGTTATATGACTTTAAAATAATTTTCTTTTGCTTAGCGGCTTGGTACCCCTTCATAATGCCTGTTCATACGGACACTATGAGGTAGCTGAGCTTTTAGTTAGGCATGGCGCATCTGTCAATGTGGCAGACTTATGGAAATTTACTCCTCTACATGAAGCAGCAGCTAAAGGAAAATATGAAATCTGCAAGCTCCTTTTAAAAGTATGTAATTTTTTAAAATATAAAGTACTTGTATTTATTTTTGGTTATTACTTTAAGTCAAATCAAAATACCTTTTATTCTATTAAGTACTGTAAGTGTTGTAGAGACTGCTTCCATTTTCTGTGTTGGGGGATGTTTAAGTGTGATATCATGATACTTGCACAGCTTTGAGTAGTGCCTGAAGTGCCTGTTTGAACTGAATTAAGTTCAGCTCATCAAACTTCATCAAGGTAGGTTTTGGAAAGAATTGAATTAGTCTGCATTGCTTATCTAATACAGTATTAATATCAGAAAAAAATTGTACAGGAGAGAAGGAAGTTTTTTATTCAAGTTTGATTTTTCCTAATGGCTCTTTTATTATTTTTAGTTTACCAGTTAATTCCTCATAATTAAGCATTATTTAATCATATACCATATTTTATGCAAATAATGCACACCTTCTATGTATTTTGTAAACTCACAATGCTATTTTTTTTTTTTTACAGCAACATGTAAAAAAAATTGGCATAGCTGTACTTAGGAAAATACCTCGAGGGGAAGGGCACAGTTAGAAAACAAGTGTAGAAGGTGCACGTTATTTGTGTAAAAATACAGTGTATCTTACAGGAACTTATTTTAATATCAGATTTTTATTAAAATGTAAGGTGTTGTTTCTATAAACAAAGTTCTATAAATTCTTGGTATATACATGAAATAGTAAAAACTAGTAGTTATATGTAACTTGTTTAATACTTTTGGGTTCTTTTTAAGTTAGCGGAAGTGAAAAATGGCCAGACATGTGTTTATGTAGTTTTCTCTTTTTTTTTTTAACTGAAGAAAAAATTTTTCCAGTTAAATATGAGTAAAATTTTTCTCCTACCACATTTACAGTATCAAATACGTTCTGTGAGTCTTAAGAGTAACACCATATTTGACGTTCATTTTTATTATCACTGGTTAATAAGAAATAAGTTCCAGGTCATTGATTTATTCCCAATATCCACAGTGGGCCAATAGCATTCTGTGTCAGGCCCATAATAAAAATTTTTGACTTGTATTTATTTTATTTCATAAGTATAGGTCATTAAACTTTTTAAATCAAGTTCATTATTAATACATTTGAACCTGATTTTCTGATAGATGTTAAGACTTAAAATGAAAAGTCTGCCAAGCGTTTTTCTCACTGATTGCATTTAGAATTAAGTGCTTTTCTCTCTTCTCTTTCATGATATCCCTGAATATCTTTACGTAATTCAAATCTGATCATATTAACATAGAGGCCATTCTCACAAGGAAGAAAGGTTTCCAGATGCAGCTTGCAGTATATTATGTATAAAGTAAAAGGCAGTCAGTGCCCCCCCCACTTTTCCGTCACCATTGATCCTGGGGCTTAGGGCTTTGGTTGAGCAGTAGTTAGAAAGCTTACCCAGTATATTTCTAAGTAGGGAATTCATGAATAGGAATTGGCAAAATAAACCGGGATATTGCCTTTGTTTTCCAAAATCTTGTAGAATAGATGTCTTTCTTTGGATGAGCAAAGGTGGATTAGATAAAAACAAAACAAAGCAAAACAAAAACCCCATAAAGCTTAAGAAATATGATACAGAAAACACAAACCCCATTTGATTTTTCTTCCTGAAGCATGGAGCAGATCCAACCAAAAAGAACAGAGATGGAAATACACCTCTGGATTTGGTGAAAGAAGGAGACACAGATATTCAGGACTTGCTCAGAGGGGATGCTGCCTTGCTGGATGCTGCCAAGAAAGGCTGCCTGGCAAGAGTGCAGAAGCTCTGTTCTCCCGAGAACATCAACTGCAGAGACACCCAGGGCAGGAACTCCACCCCTCTGCACCTGGCAGGTAAGCACCACAGGACTTCCAGGTATCGCCTCCTTTCCTGGACACCTAATACACCGTACCAAAAGTTGAAAGGAAGGCTGAGCATAAAGGGTACTACTTAGTAAAATGCTTTTGACATAATTTTATGTAATTTCTCATGTAAAGGCTCTTACTTATGTGATGATAATACTAGTTTTTGAAGCAAAAAGTATTAAAACCTTAAAACATTCTGGTCCTTATGTATATATATATATATATATAACACATTTGTGGTGTTCTCTCTCTCTCTCTTTTTTCTCTCTTTAAGCTGACATTTTTGCCTTTTTTTCATTCTAATAGCTGGCTACAATAACCTAGAAGTAGCTGAGTATCTTCTGGAGCACGGAGCGGATGTTAATGCCCAAGACAAAGGCGGTTTAATTCCTCTTCACAATGCAGCATCCTATGGGGTGAGCATGCTAACATTAGAGAAAACCTCAATGACATGTATTCCCTTGTTAAGCATACACTACACGGGAAGTAAGTAGCTGTCTAGCCAACAGCAGAATTTGGCATAATTTTAATCTTTTATTCAGTGTTTTGTCTTGCCTTCCCAGTTAAACTTAAATATCTTTTGCCCAAGGATCATACTTTTTATAGCTTTTTAGTCTCTTCACAGTATCTAGCACAATAATAGGTATGTAATTGGTGCTCAGTAATATTTCTTGACAGAATAAATTTTAATGCTACCTCAGGTAGATTTTAGAAACTATAATAGCTAGGAGGTTCCTATACCTGTTGCCCTCGAGTCAATTCCAACTCATAGTGACCCTATAGGACAGAGTAGAACTGCCCCATAGAGTTTCTAAGGATCAGCTAGTAGATTCAAACTGCCAACCTTTTGGTTAGCAGCCGAACTCTTAACTACTCTGCTGCAGGGCTCTGGAGGTTCCTATATAGTCATGGAAATTATGGTTACTTATATTTATCATCAACATCTAAAAAATGTTCAAGTAAGCTATTGATATATGTGGTTTTAAAGACACTGAGTGACTAGCTAAAACCCCACAGTGGAAGTCCAGAGTCATTCTTTCACAGCAGTATAATGTCAGTCATCTGCTCTAAGAGGAAGAAGAGTGTATTACGATGCCTTGATACCATTTGTTGGCACTTACTTCCTGGAAGTAATCAAGGCCCACTTTAGACCTGATGAATCACTGCAGTAGAAATAAAATACACGCGCACCTGCTTGTCTGTTCATCCACTTAATCACTATTTGACTGTAAAAACCCTCAGATGCCAGATTGTACATACCAGGTGTTCTCACAGTCGGAATCACTATTGATGAAGATAGTTTCTAGATTTGGAAAAAACTGACAAACTGTAAAGAAAAATGAAACTACCCACCTTCATGTCCTAATTCCCTATTTATTCCTACTACCTTCTCCCTTGCTCTTTATAGTGAGAATATCCTCATCTTCTCAGGCCCCCTGTGCAAAGATGAGGATTTCAGGGGGAGGACAAATTTTATATAAGGAAAACAGATAATCCACTTGTGAGTTGGACAGACAGAAAAGTATACTTCCAAGTGTGATATAAATTAATTGAAAATCATCAGATTTAATAAATATACTATATTTTCAGGCAAATAACGCATGCCTGTACGTTTGTTTGCCAACCGCACCCTCCCCCCACAAGGCATTTTCATAAGCGCGCTATGCCAATTTTTTTTTACAAGTTGCTGTAAAAAGAATTACAGTAGCGCACTTATGAAAATAACTTGCAGGGGGAGGACGTGGTTGGCAAACAAATGTAGAAGGCGCACGTTATTTGCTTAAAAATACAGTAATATTAATAATGGAATTCTTTCAGAACTCCAGTTTCTTATCTTCCCAAAGATGAATTAATCTTTTATTAGAATTGTCCTAATTTTAACCTTCCTTCCCATAAGATTCTCAATTTCAGTGTACAACAGATATTTCTGCTGAAATAAGATCTGGCATCCTAAGAATTTGCTTAAGTATTTACTGCTAACATACTACATATCCATTTATGTATAATCCTTTTACCTTTAAGTTATAACTATACATGTATATCACTTGGAGGATTAATTTTCAGCACTTCTTACCATGATCTTTCTCTCCATATTATATTCCACACATTCCTTTTGCTAAGCTTCAGTTGAGTTTACAAAGCTGATGGCATCAGTGGAATTTAAATCAGAGTCTTTTAACTTCTGCATAAATCTACTAATGAGTAAAGATATGTGTCAGCAAGAGAATTACAGTTCTTGACTTGATCTAATAAAGCCTATGTTGTACTGTCCACTGTATATACTACACGGATTTGTGTGTTTTTAAATATATCCCGTATGTTGTGGATGTAGGAAAGTTCTAGGCCATCAGCCTTTTCCTTTCACAATCTTTACAGTTGTCAGAAAGGATAAATAAAGTAAAACTTAATTTGTAAAATAAGTATTTTACTTTCTCATCTCAACTCTTCTCCTGTTCTGTCATTTGGTGACCAGTGTGCGGCGAACAGAGTTTTCAGTGGTTCTCTTTTGTGGCTAAATAGTAATGTAGTGTGCAGGCCAACCTTGTCTTATTCCTTGTGCCCTTCAAGCTATCTTACCATTAACTGAATAGGTGATGTAATCCAACCACTGTCCTGACCAGAGAGCCAATGTTTCGTTTCTGTACATTTATTTCACCATTATTGGTAACCCCTGCTCTGACTCCAGGTGACAAAAATCGTGAACATTTCTTTCATCATCTCTTTTTATGTTATCCTGTTTATTATCAAATCCCCACTGCTTAGCTCTTTGAAACTGAAAGGAAACTTACTGAGGTGAGAATGAACAGGCTGTTAGAGGGCATCTGATGGAGATTTTGATCAGGCTGGTTCATGCCATCCTTCTACTGAAGAATGCAGATGAGCTAAGTAATGTGTTTGTCGCAGGTACTGTTACCTCATTGTGTGGGTGGATTATTTAAGTCACTCTAATAATCCTTCATGTAGTAAACTTATAAATTAAAAAATCAAATACCTGTGAGTTAATTACTATGTACTGTTATTTACTAAAACCTTTACTTTGGTGGTATCTTGACCTTTTTTTCTGTTTCCATGTTTTTCACATATGCAACCCACTGCCCTCAATAATAGCTCTCATGACACACAGTGATTCTCAGCTGGCAGTAGGTAAGATTATCCTCCCCACCGAGAATCTCTGCTCCACAGAATAATTTTCTGTAATGTAATTTGTAAAACAGAATCTATTATCAGTTACTGTATCAAATCATATTTGTCTCAGTCTCAATTAATAGACTTAACCACATATATGTTAACTGCAATACAAACATTTTAAAAGCTACTTTCACTTTCTTTTTAACTAAAAGATTGTTATTGCCATTGTTGTTAGGTGCTGTTGAGTTGATTCCAGCTCATAGTGACCCTGTGTACAACAGAACGAAACACTGCCCAATCCTGCTCCATACTCACAATTGTTGTGAGGTTTGAGCCCATTGTTACAGCCACTGTGTATAGACATCTCATTTAAGGTCTTTCTTTTTTTTCACTGGCTCTCTGCTTTACCAAGCATGATGTCCTTCTCCAGGGACTGGTCCCTCCTAATAACATGTCCAAAGTACATGAGACATAGTCTCACCATCCTTGCTTCTAAGGAGTATTCTGGCTGTACTTCTTCCAAGACAGATTTGTTCGTTCTTTTCGCAGTCCATGGTATGCTCAGTATTCTTCACCAACACCATAATTCAAAGGTGTCAATTCTTCTTCGGTCTTCTTTATCCATTGTCCAGCTTTCACATGAATATGAGGCAATTGATAATATCATGGATTGGGTCAGGCACACCTTAATCCTCAAAGTGACATCTTTGCTTTTTTAACACTTGAAAGAGTTCTTTTGCCAGTGCATATGTCGTTTGATCTCTTGACAGCTGCTTCCATGGACATTGATCATGGATCCAAGTAAAATGAAATCTTTGACAGCTTCAATCTTTTCTTCGTTTATCATGATGTTGCTTATTGGTCCAGTTGTGAGGATTTTTGTTTTCTTTACGTTGAGATGTAATCCATACTGAAGGCTGTAGTCTTTGATTTTCATCAGTAAGTGCTCCAAGTCCTCTTCACTTTCAGCAAGCAGGCTTATGTTATCTGCATATCACAGGTTATAATGAGTCAGCCTCCAATCCTAATGCTATGTTCTTCATATAGTCCAGCTTCTCGGATTATTTGCTCAGCATACAGATTGAATAAGTATGGTGAAAGGATGCAACCCTGACATACAGCGTTCCTGATTTAAAACCACCCAGTATCCCCTTGTTCTGTTTGAACAACTGTCTCTTGGTCTATGTACAGGTTCCATGTGAGCACAATGAAGTGTTCTGGAATTCCAATTGTTTCCAGTGTTATCCATAATTTGTTGTGGTCCACACAGTCAAATGCCTTTGCATAGTCATTAAAACACAGGTAAACATCTTTCTGATATTCTTTAATGTCAGCCAAGATCCACCTGACATTAGCGATGATATTCCTCGTTCCATGTCCTCTTCTGAATCTGGCTTGAATTGGCAGTTCCCTGTTGATATACTGCTACAATCATTTTTAATTATCTTCAGCAAAATTTTACCTGTGTGTGATATTAATGATATTGTTCAATAATTTCCACATTCTTTTGGATCACCTTTCTTTGGAATGGACACAAATATGAACATCTTCCAGTTGGTTGGCCAGGTAGCTGTCTTTGAAATTTCTTGTCATAGGTGCGTGAGCACTTCCAGTGTTGCATTTGTTTGTTGAAACATCTTAATTGGCATTCCATCAATTCCTGGAGCCTTATTTTTCACCAGTGCCTTCAATGCAGCTTGGACTTCCTCCTTCAGTACCATTGGTTCTTGATCATCTGTTATCTCTTGAACAGAGATATATGGATAGAGAAACAAGTGGTTAGGTGACTTGATTTTATTTGACTGGTTAATAATTATTGACCTGTATAACTTAGCATTTTTAAGCTCCTGGTTCACATATTTATTTAGGGAAACTATGAGGAAAGATAATACTTAGGGAGCTTGGGATGAATTAATGCAGCAACATTGATCAAGTCTTTTTGGTACAGTGACTGTGTATTCCTTCCATCTTCTTTTGATACTTCCTACATCATTCAATATTTTGCCTATAAAATCCTTCAGTATTCCAGTTCAAGGCTTGAATTTTTTCTTCAGTTCTTTTAGCTTGAGAAATGTCAAGCTGTTCTTCCCATTTGGTTTTCTAACTCCACATCTTTGCACATTTCATTGTAATACTTTGTCTTTTCGAACCACCCTTTGAAGTCTTCTGTTCGTCTGTTTTACATCATTTCTTCACCATTTGCTTTTGGTACTCTGCATTCAAGAGCAAGTTTCAGAGTCTCTTCTGACATCCATTTTGGTCTTTTCTTTCCTATCTTTTTAATGATCTTTTGCTTTCTTCATGTATGATGTCCTTTATGTTATCCCACAACACATCTGGTCTTTGGTCATTGGTGTTCAGTGCATCAAATCTATTCTTAAGATGGTTTCTAAATTCACGTGGGGTATACTCAAGGTCTTAGTTTGACTCTCGTGGACTTGTTTTAATTTTCTTTAGCTTCAACTTGCATATGAGCAATTGACGGTCTGTTCCACAGTCAGCCGCTGGCCTTGTTCTGATGATAATACTGAGGTTCTCCATCGCCTTTCCACAGATGTAGTCAATTTGATTTCTATGTACTTCATCTGATGAGGTCCATGTGTATAGTTGCTGTTTATGTTGTTGAAAAAACGTATTTCCAGCAAATAGGTCATTGGTCTTGCAAAATTCTATCATGTGATCTCTGGTGTAATTTCTGTCACTGAGGCCATATTTTCCAGCTATTAATCCTTCTTCTTTGTTTCCACCTTTCTGATTCCAATCACCAGTAATTATCAGTGCATCTTGATTGCTTGTTTGATCAATTTCAGACTGCAGAAGTTCCTAAAAATCTTCAATTTCTCCATCTTTGGCCCTAGTGGTTAGTGCATAAATTTGAATAAAAGTCACATTAACTAGTCTTCCTTCTAGCCACATAGGTATTTTTGTATCACTGACAGCGTTGTACTTCAGTATAGATTTTGAAATGTTCTTTTAGACAATGAATGCAGTGCTATTCCTCTTAAATTTGTCATTCCCGGCATAGTACACTGTATGATTATCTGATTCAAAATGGCCAATACTAGTCCATTTCAGCTCAGTAATGCCTAAGATATCAGTTTTTATGCATTCCCTTTCATTTGTGACAACTTCCAGTTTTCCTAGATTCATACTTCGTACATTCCGTGTTCCAGTTATTAATTGATATTTGCAGCTGTTTCTTCTCATTTTGAGTCATGCCACATCAACAAATGAAGGTTCCGAAAGCTTGACTCCATCCACGTCATTAAGGTCAAGTCTACTTCGAGTAAGCAGCTCTTCCCCAGTCATGTTTTGAGTGCCTTCCAACCTGACGGGCTCATCTTCTGGCACTATATCAGACAATATTCCACTGCTGTTCATTAGGTTTTCACTGGCCAGTTTTTCAGAATCAGGTCACCAGGTCCTTCTTTCTAGTCTTTCTTAGTCTGGAAGCTCCACTGTAACTTGTCCACCAGGGATGACCCAGCTGGTATTTGAAATACTCGTGTCATAGCTTCCTGCATCGCAGCAACGCACAAGCCACCACAGTACAACAGACTGGCAGGTAAACGGTGGAAGACACAGGTAGAGGGATGAATCATCTTTTTGTCGAAGAAACTTCTGAAGATGATGAGAATACAGATACAGAGAGTGTGAAATGTTAAGTGTACATGATAGAGTTTTTTCAGATGATCTCATTCTTAACAGTTTGCATCCTTTTGTTTTCCTCAGCATGTGGACATAGCAGCATTATTGATAAAATACAACACATGTGTAAATGCAACAGATAAGTGGGCATTTACTCCTCTTCATGAAGCAGCCCAAAAAGGAAGGACACAGCTGTGTGCCCTACTCCTAGCACATGGTGCAGATCCAACTATGAAGAACCAGGAAGGTCAGACACCTTTAGATCTGGCAACAGTAAGTCTTCATTTCAGAATATTCAGTGTTATTATATTCATCGTGCTTTCAAAGAACACATTAAATTTTAGGAATAAGCAGATTTATCTTTCGTAGTACTTATTTCACTTAGAATAAGAACAAATTTCCTTCTGAAAAATATTTTAAGTTCACACTTATGTATGATAAAATATAATTTAAAACTCTAATAGGTTAACTTCATTTTTTTGGCCATACTTCGTTAAACCATGAATCACAGAAGGACACATTTCTGGAGTGTATCCTCAAAGAGGAGCCCTGGTGGCGCAGTGGTTACAGCTCGGCTGCTAACCAAGATGTCAGCAGTTTGAATCCACCGATCACTCCTTGGAAACCCTGTTGGACAGTTCTACTCTGTCCGACAGGGTCGCTATGAGTTGAAATCAACTCGATGGTGATGGACTTACAGGTTTTGGTTTTCATTTTGATCTACCTCTATCCCTTTTAGTCCAAACTGCTGTAACTCCTTCATAAAATCTGTGGGTTTCTCATGTGTCAAGTTATACAGTATTCCATCAAACAAAGCCATGACCACAAACCTCTTTGAGATAGATCCCTCTCTATTTTGGATTGCAAGTTCGGTGCTGTGGGACAGTGCCCTTAGGATTCTCAAAAACTCTCTCTTCTAGCTGAGATGGTTCACAAGGCATCACCTTAAAGATCTTGGTTAAGATTTTCAGAGGTCTTAACAAGAGGTAAAATATCTATGCCTTTGATTTGATTTTTGCTATGAGGCTATGTTTTATTGGCAGTGCCCTGAATTGGATCTTTGTACTGAGGCTGTTGCTTATTTTGAGAAACTTTTGATGGTGGAGAGGCTGGGAAGGCAGAATAATTCTACTTTCTAAACTAGTAAGCCCTAGGTGAGAATATGTTTTCAAAGGGAACTAAACAATCGCTCTCTTGGTCCATCTCTCTCACCCTGTGTGCTATTACGGGCAAAGGAGACAAGCCAGTTGGCATGTTCCGCATTCTTCCTGAAAATCTCTTGCCAAATCTGTTAAGTTTATGAAGTACATTTTCTGTTTTCCTAGCTATCACAGGCGACAGTGTTGCCAAACGTTCTACTATACCACAGAGTTTCCCTTCCCCTAGCTTTCTGCAGCAATTGCCTGACTCTCTTCCCATCTCCACTAACAGTCACCATGCCACCCAAATCACCCACGCTAGCCCATGCTTCTTTACAGCATGGTGGAGGCTTCTAGGAGAGAAAGTGGAAGCTTCCAGTCCTCGGGTCTCTTACTACCTGGTCAGAAGCCTCAGAACATCACTTCCTGTTCACTCTGTTGGTCAAAGCAACTTGGGGGCAACCCAGATGCAAGGCAGGGCAAATAGATGTCGCCTCCTGATGCGAGGAGAGGTGTGCATATACGGAGACTGAGGAATTGGCCAGCTGCTTCCACGTACTTTGACAGCAACTGTTCCCAATACTTATAAACCGTAAAGTTAGTGAATACACTAGCTAAATGAAGGTGCTATACCTTTAAAAATGTCACCAGATTTTAATTGTACATTGAATTAGTAAATGTGCACTAAATAACTGAACAAAATTTATTATAGCTGTTTAAGCATGAACAAAGTGTAATGAATATGGAAACCCTTGCTAAAGAAGAGAGTGAGAATCAACACTCTGAAATGTGTTTTTTGTTTTTTTTTAATGAATGATAAAATATAAAAAATTATATAGTTTCTGCAGTTCTACCTGCTAAAACTACTGAGACTCTTCGGAGGTGTGGATTGAAAAAGGAAAGGGAAAATCAGTAGCGAATAATGAGGCACTCATTAAAGAAAACGTTCACAAAGCATTTATTTGGTCCTTAGTGAAAAACTTAACTTTTTGAAAGTGTGATGTTTGTGTGTGTATGTGTTTTGTTTTTGTTTTTTTTAGGCTGACGATATCAGAGCTTTGCTGATAGACGCCATGCCCCCAGAGGCCTTGCCTACTTGTTTCAAACCTCAGGCTACGGTAGTGAGTGCCTCTCTCATCTCCCCGGCATCCACGCCCTCCTGCCTCTCTGCCGCCAGCAGCATAGATAACCTGACTGGTCCTTTAGCCGAACTGGCGGTAGGAGGCGCATCCAACACGGGGGATGGCGCAGCCGGTGCAGAAAGGAAGGAGGGAGAAGGTGAGTCCATCCTGTGAAAATCTATTTATTTGTTTGTTTTAATGAAACATTCACTTTTTTCTATCAGTAATTATTGAGTACTTCACTTAAAAACATCCTGTCTGTAAGTAAATTTTCCTGTACGCAACATTTTATAAGAAATACTTCATCATAAATGGCTGCCAAGTTCCTTGTCATCTGCATTGTTCTCATTTGTGTATGTCCCAGTACATCCTTTTTTAACCCTAGTATCTTATTGAACTCTCGAGTGAGTCTTATTACTGAAATTATATCAGAAAAAAACTGAGGGGTCATTTAAGGAATAAAAACTAAAATAATAGCTGGTATATTTGTTTTTTTAATGTAACTGTTAAATATTTTTTTAAAAGCATTAGATTATGCTGTATAATATTAGAATTAAAGTAAGTACTGATTGGATAAAGCATTCTGCTTTTACTTCTCAGCCAAATTCAGATTTAACTTGAAGTGTTTGGGTTAAATTTATTCTGGATGATTTTACGCTATGTAAAATAATCTACATAGTCAAGGGTGTCAGAGCCATGCCTTTAAATAGATACTGGAACTATCTTTAGATCAATACAGTTCTTCCTGAGAAACTTAAATGTATTTCTGTTTTAGTTGTGGGTCTTGACATGAATATCAGCCAATTCCTAAAAAGCCTTGGCCTTGAACACCTTCGGGATATCTTTGAAACAGAACAGGTAAACTCTCATAAGTGTATATTTTTGAGTCTTTAAAATTAAATATTATGATTTATTAATTGCCATTCATTATTTTTTGCTTCTTAACAGCTATTTTGAAACCCACCACAAATTTCTAAGTAAGTCAGGGGCCCAGTATTTTATGTTTCTTCCCAAAATTGTCTGGCAGATAGAGATCTTTAATTATTGTTCTGTCTTTAAAAAGGGTCTGATTCTATAGGTTTTATACATCTGAAAACTTAAGCCATAAAACCATCTTGTTTTGGTTATTTAGTTTCCAGAAAGTGTTGGCATTTATTTATCTCATTTCATTACTTAAAATCAATGAGAAATTTTTATATTAACTATTTTGCAAAGTTTTCATGAAGAGATTTTCTATTATATTTGAAAGCAAAGTAATACTTAGAAAAGGTACCTTTTAAAAATTGCCCCTTTATTGTTTCTGTTGTAGTCTAAAATAGTGTTGAACCAGTAATTGACCATACACTCAAATACGCCCATCCTATTTTCACATACGTCTTAAATGTCTATGAAGGTCTGAGTATGGCCATCCATAGGACATTTTAAAATGAGGATCCTCTGTCATTCTGTTTTTATATAGGATAGTAAGTTTTCAACTTAAGATTGTATAGATTTATTACCATACTCAGCATTAAATATCGAATGATAATAAGTTCCTGGGTTTAGGGAGAAAATAATTAGAA